TGACATGGCCTGTTCCATCTTTGGATGACTGTCTATGTAAATCCTTCTTGTTGAGTCATTCAATCATCATACATGAATCATCCGCATATTTCATCTACCTCTTCTCCATAACATAATTGATGGTCGATGATCTGATTTTCCAAATTCCAGAAAATGCGTCTCTAAAGTTGGGAACTTTTGATGTCAAGAGTTATTACCCATAATCTAAGCAGCAAAGTATATCATGATTACTCGTACGACCACTCCAGGAAAAACTGTCCCCAATGGATTTTAAATCTGTAAAACCACAATGTTGAACCATTCTACGAAAGGCATGAAATGAGTTTTCAGGACGTGTTCTTCCTCTTTGTTTTTCAGAGTTGCTAAGGATCTCATTCAAATCACGCAACATGAACCAAATAGCGTTTCTATTTATTGCAATTCTCTCTAATCGTTCCTTTAAATCATTACAAAGGCTTGGATTTGAATTTCCATAAACAAAGGATAAGTAAAAGCCAAATTCCATTACCTTCAACATAACAATCTACAAGATTAGGAGATTGAAATAAAAGAGAAAGATGAAAAGATTGCTTCCAAAATAAAACTAAACCTCCACTTAGACCCACATGTGAAACTGATACATAGTTGAGGAAACCCATTTCACATCCTAAGTTCATTCATCCTGCTGTTTTGTTTTGAAAATGAATATAATGTCTAGGAGATACCTCCGATTTATCTCTTTTAGACGTAGAACTGTTAAGTCATTACCTATACCTTGATAGTTCCAGAAGGCTGTCCTCATGGTGGAAGAGGTGGTTCTTCGCCCATCACGCCTCCAATGTTATCAGCATATTCATAAGAAGCAGCTATTCCACTTCCTTCACCCCTTTTAATCCGCTCTGCAAAATACTGATCATCCTTTTCCCTATCCGTCATGAACTTTATCTTTGAGCGCTTTGTTGTCTTTCTTGCCTCATTGGAATTCTCATCATAGGAATTGGCAATCACATTTGGATCGTATTTGTCATTGAGGGCCATTGTATTCATTGTAAAGCCTTGGTAAGTGTCCCTTGCAACATAGTTATTCTCTTCTTCAACATCTTTACCTGTAGTCTCCCCTGCTTGTTCCCCATGCTCCATTTTGGCAATTGGTGCCTCAGTCATTCCATCATCATTGTCCACATTGTTGCATTGGTCCTCTTGATAGTCTTCCACCGTATCAGCTTCATGGATTTCTTCAATCACCACTCCATTTTGTCAGCCTCCCATATGGCCAAAATTTGGTTGTGGACGATCATCATCGCTTCTACCATCACCGTCATCCTCATTTTCAGGGTCTGGTCTTCTATTTTGAATAAGACAGTTACCCAGATTGTTTTTGAGTATGCCACAAAATATTCTCTCATACATTCATAGGTGAAACAGAGGAGAGTGTAAACATTCGTTGAGAATTGAAATTTTCGCTGAAATTTCAATGGTTCTTGTGATGACACAATATCGAGGATCAACGGACATGATTGTAAAGATAAGTACTCAACCAGGAATTGGATAGCATACTAAACTCACTTAGAGTTCACCACGAAGAAGAATCAGCTCAAAAGGAGTTCATATAAAGAAGATATTAAAGATACAAGTTGGCAGATTTTCAATGAACCCGCTGGAGACATGCGATCACTAATAAATTCACTCCGGTCAAACTGCGATGAATTAAGCCACAAGACCGAATGTTTGGGAAACATAACTCATTAGAGAACCGAAGAAAATTAGAATTATGACAAAATTCATTTTGGTTTAAAAGTTATCCAATTTTTACACCGGAGAACCCCCAACATGCCTAATTCGGAGTCTACCGAGTTTGAGAGATTGCAAACATATCTTTGGAGACCAGAAGACAGTCTCAACCATCTAGAAGCCTTAAAATACGTCCTTATATTCACCAGCACTCAGAGAATCAGGCGGATTCTCTTGCTTGAATACTTTCCTTTCTTGGATACATTCACATTTGAGTAGATATTCACCAATGGCTCATTCCCAATAATCTTGGCTGCGATTTGAAGACTTATTCAAGTAACCAGAACCTTCCCAAGATGCCTAACATCTACCTCAAGCTGACCAGATACAATCAAAACCACGAGTTCCATTATTTGGTCAAGTATTCAAGTCCCCAACGGCTAGATTTTTAAGACCACATCTTTTCATTAATTCTTTTTTGTTTAGTGTTTTAGAATGTTAGACTAGCTTTACTTTAGAGCATATATAAGCTCATTTCGTCATTTGTAAAATTCACTTTTAAATCAACCAAGAAAATATAAAGTTTGCTCTTTTTTTATTCAAATAGTGTCTTTGTTTATATTTGTCTTTAGATTCATTTAGTCCACTGATTCTTGGAATAGAAGTGTTTGTGAGATTCACGCAAGTCTAGTTCCAAAGGCTGAGTGAGTCAGTCATCCAAGGATTGAGAGAGTCAATCAAATTTCCACCACCATTGCTACATTCATCCACTTCCACCCCAAGCTAATTGATCAGTTTTGATCTCCATTTGTTGTAAGATTGTGGAGTGATTTCCAATCTTGTGTCAGTTCTTGCACATCCAGTTGATGCACACCCTCCTCACAAACTCTACCTTGCATGCTGATACAATATTTTTTTAGGTCTTGTGACTCAATTCCTCAAGTCTAAAATCATGTCATTGAAGTACAAGAAGTTATCAATTCAATCCAAAGGCTAAGGAACAATCAAGATGTAGAAAACTTGCTAAGCTAGACCTAATCAAGAGAAGAGAAATTTAATCTAACATCCTAAAACAATAAATGCAAACTAGAAAACAAAGACTCAAGACTAATGATAACAAGCTGAATATAAATCATGATTAAGGTGAAAGAAACAATCAATGCATTATTCTCTAGGCAAGAACTACTAATATAGGCTAGCCAGATTCCTCTAGTACTAATCATTGTGACTATATCACATATTCAAGACAATTTCCATTACTGAACAGATGATAAGCAAGCCTTAAAAGCAAAGTCTATAGAGCCAAAAAGCATGCTAGACATCTAGTTTCCTATGCTATGTTTACTAATCTCTTGCGCAATGGCACTAACATTAAATCACACTTCCATGCATAATCAATGCCTAAAGAGCAATTTCCCACCAATATGGTACTAAGCATTAAGCACTTTCAAGCTAGAAATGATAGATGCAAAGACTCATGATAATCTAAACACCATTTTCAAGCATTGAACTTCATTCAAGCATTTCATCAAACACATAAAGTGCAGATAAAAACCTAAGATCAACTTCTCCAGCAAAGAGGTACTAAGAATTAAGAACAGTCACACAAGAAGATATAATCAAAGATCCAACATTCTAACACCTTAAACAATCATTGAAAACACTTTTGTTCTTCAAAAACCAAGAATCTCAAAGGTTAAAAACAGAAATTCGAAATTTCTAAAGCAAAATAAGAAAGCAAGACTAAGAGATTAAAGACTCAAGATAAAAAGAAGATAACTTAAATAAAAGGTATATACAAGTGATTCAGTCTCATCCCACAAAGGGATTTGTTCTGGTTCTTTGAAAAACCAAAGCAAAACTTTGGGGAAGAGAAAGGATAAGGAAAATTAGATCTAGGTTTAACTATTTATAGAGAACATCCTCAAAATAGCCTTAGGAAGCAAAAATAAAAGAGTCAAAGTTGGTTCCCGGATTAAGGTATATTGGGCAGAAGGAATGAGGTCTTAGAAGGAATGAGGTCTTGGTAGATATGCTGCTTGGTACAAACTTCCGTTTGCGGATATCGTTTGAACCACTGATCGGATTGACATGATTAAACCTCTGTTGGAAAGCTTATTCGATCCTCTACAACTTCCATGAAGGACATGGAGGCTGAGTCGCACTAGAATTCGTTCAGACCCATACATTTCATATCGACCTGCATATCGGGTAGGTTTCTCTCAGCTATGGTCGATACAGGACTTTGGTGCAGCCTAAAACCCGTCATCTTGGCCATTATGCTCGGTTATTCTTGTCCTTATCATCCACTATTCTCCAAATGTCTTCCTTGCTCCATTTAGACCTGAGAAACAATCGAAACAATGCAAAACATGCAATGCCTAACCTAAAACCTATTATGTCTAATATGAATGCAAATGTGACAAAATATGATGAATAAATGCATGAAAGAGACCAAAACCTAAACTAAATGCAAACTAAAATATGAGTATATCACTCGTCATTTCTGCATTAAATTCTACTTCCAGAAACATTCCCAATACTCTGCCAATATGCGTAACCATTCTGAAACTGAGGGATACAGTGCATCTCCATGGGATTCATTCTCGTTGTCCATCTCTGCAGGATAAGCAGTCGATCTGCATATGCCCATGGGTCCAGCTGCAACACGCATTCCATAGCTTCCTCCGTCTCAAAAACAAACTTGAAACGTCTACCAGTGATAATTCAGCCATGGACATTGCTAATTTGACCCTATAGCCATGGTAGATTTGCACCAATTGCTCGTAAATTTTGTTTTCTCGGCATAATTGGTCTGCCAATAATGCCGAAACAATTGGCCACTTGATTCACCACATCTGCCGGTAACGCAATCAGAGGGTCATTAACCCCAACTTTGAATCGCTTTTCTGAGACTATTAGTCATTCTCGCTCGTATTTGATAAAATCAGAAAGGATAAAAAAGAACATAGAGATTTGTTGATCTGGTTTGATTTGACAAAACCCCTTGCAATTGTTCTCTTGTATACCCAAATTACAATGAAATTTTTGCTTGGAAACCGCCATCATAATAGATCATAGGATCAGTTATGGGAATATTCGTCGAAAAGTGAGGAAATGTCTGTGAATTCACTACTTCGTCAGCGAAATTATAACAACTGTCACCCGTAAAATGAGGAATAACCGTAATAAAAACTATCGAAAAATCACATTTTTTAAATAGTTATACAAGTATATGACGGAAGAAAATGAGCCAGTCCAGATCATTTCCCTATTAAAACTAGAGAGCACAGACACTCTGTTTCTTAAAGAGTCTTCGCCAACTTTTTGTGCCCCTAATTTCTTCAGCCACTAACAGAGAATAGGGACACCCTGTTTCTTAAAGAGTCTTCGCAACTTTTTGTGTCCGTAATTTCTTCGGCACTAACAGAGAGGATCTATCAGAGGCTTCTTGATCCCTGTGACGTAAAAAAAACCCCAAAATCTCAGAAACCGTGTTCCGGTTCTAATGGCATGTCAAATTCATGTCTCACGCGTCTTGCCATCATCGTTATCAATCTTAGAATCTGAAAAAGGTCGATTCTTTATGATAAATTTGTTCCACAGGAGAAACCATCAAAGAGATTCGTGGATTCATCCAATGAGCAGGTAGCGTGTTTTTGATTATTGGGGTAGAATGGATTTTGATTTTGGTTTGATATTGAAACCTCTCTGTAATTTTATTTTTCCTATAGCTTTCAGATTCGAAGAAAAAATCAGAGAATAGCGTTTGCGTTAGACACAGGTTCTTCTTCTGTTTCTGGAGATAATGGAGGAGGACAAGAGATTAATGGAGACAGAACAGGTCTAGGAAGCACTAGATTAGGAAGAATTGCGATTGCGTTAGGCAATGAGTTGCTTGTGAAGATAAACACTGCAAGAAAAAACTTCCCAATGAAGATATTTCTGCTGCTTCTTGGTTTCTATACTGCAAATGCATTGGCCACGATTCTTGGCCAAACCGGTGATTGGGACGTTCTTGTGGCTGGAATCGTCGTGGCTGCGATTGAAGGAATCGGTATGCTTATGTACAAGAAGCCACCTTCTACAATGTTATCTGGGAAGTTACAGTCTTTTGTTGTTTTTATGAATTTCTGGAAAGCTGGTGTTTGTTTGGGTCTCTTTGTTGATGCTTTCAAGTTGGGTAGTTGAAAAATTAATCCTTTCTTTTCTTCTATTATAATGAGTAATGTTTGTGTATAGAGAGAGACTTTGATTAGATTCAGAAGTGTATCAGTTTTGTGTGAATATGTTTGGGAAATGCAGGTTTTGTTCTTGGCACTTTAAACCCAATTCTCCTCATCTTTGTATTATACCCACTTTAACAAGAAATCTCAACTTACAATAGTGTCTACAAGTAGGCTAAGCTTTGTTTTGGAAGAACTGAAGAATTTTGTGAATCAATTTCTGTAGACAGTTTCTTTAGAATTTTAATGGGAACAAGAGGAGGCTCCATATGGGAACATGAATAATGTTGTGTATTGAGAGAGACTTTGATTAGATTCAGAAGTGTATCAGTTTTGTTTGAACATTTTTGAGAATGCAGGTCTTGTTCTTGCCACGTTAAACCCAATTCTTCTCATCTTTGCATTATAAACTTATACAAGAAAATTACAATGTTTTCCTGATCTATGCAACTAAGATAAAAGAGTGTTTCCAAGTTTTGTTTTGGAAGAATTGAAGAATCTAGTGAACCAGTATCTTTAGAATCTTGATGAGAGCAAGAGGCTGCATCCACATATTAACCCAATGCACAATGTTGCCACTTCCTCAATCCAACATTAACTCGGTTTGTGTCCCTTAGTATCTGATTGGTCCATCTAGGCTGCCTGTAGCAAACTGAAAGATACAACAAAGAAACGAATAACTCAAACTGCATTTGAAGTAGTTCCATGTCTCTTGACAAACATCTTGTTGAGATTAGATGTGAACCTGTTGAACAATTGGATTTGACGAGGTTGTAAACTCATGTGTCATTCCTTGCCAAACAATCTTTCCTTCATACAGAAACAATAACCTGAAAAGAAGAAACACAACTTCTCAATGGATGAAGGCAAAAGCTGCAAAATGTATTTCAAGAATATGGACTAAAGAACAGAACCTGTCTACAGCTCTTTGAATGGTGCTATGTTGATGGGTAACAACCAGATAAGAAGCGATTTTTCCGGGTTTTCCAAGTGCATCATCGTCCGTCATGCGAACAGACCGTATGAGATCTTCAACTACAGTTGATGCAATTGGATCAAGCCCAGCAGTTGGTTCATCATACAAGAGCACCTAAGAAAATTTCAGCAACTTCAAAACCCGTAAACGAATTCCTAATTTTCTTCAAGAACTATAAGAGATAAGCTTCGAGAGAAGAAACACATTCATGAACTTGAGTAGAGTTTTAGATTACCTCTGGCTCAATCACCTCTTTTGTTGTATCGAAAATGAGTGAGCGAGCTAAAGCAACCCTTTTCTTCATCCCACCAGATAACTCAGAAGGTAGTCGATTCTCAACCCCCTGATCTTATTAGAAACAAAAACAAACCAGATGTTTCTAGCTGAAGTAATCGATCACCATTTGATGCAAACTTTGATAACAGATGTATTAATAATTAGAATACCTTCAAACCAACAGCTGCCAAGGTTTGTGTCACTAGCTCAGATATTTGATTCTCGGACATTTTCGAACTTTCATAACTGAGATTAGCCAACATGGAAATGTTAAATCAAGATGAAAGGATAACAAAAGAGTCTTAGCCACAATTTTGCTAGAAATGAGGTCAAAAGAATAACATCTTACAGTAGAAAACCAACATTTTCACGAACTGACAGAGAATCAAAGAGAGCTGCACTCTGAAATACCTGTAAGATAGAAAAAAATAGCCATTCAAAACAAAACTCCAAAACCAAAACATGAGAATTATATCTCAGAACAGCACTTACTAAGCCAATACGGAGTCCTGATATTTCCTCATCACTTATCAAACCAGCTCGTTTCTTTCCTCGTATATAAACCTCTCCCTACATACCAAGCATCATATACAATCAAGTATCTGCCAGATATTGAGAAAAAAACAGCTCATGACATGAAATTATATAGCGCACGACATTGCAGACCTTGTCAGGTGCAAGAAGGCCAGCCATGATCTTTAGAATTGTCGATTTTCCAGTCCCAGAAGGACCAATCACCCCAACAGCTTCTCCATGTCTAATCTGCATGACTAAAACCTGGTTAAAACGTGGTACTCGAAATCTGATGGCTTTATACATAATCTAAAGATCAAGAACAAGATACCCTAATAGGGTCTCATCAAGTACTGAAGCCTAAAGTTAAAAGCATCCTTTTGCAAATCACCAACCAACATTCCTTTACACTGAATTTGAATGTAAAATGACAAAAACACAAATGATACCTTAAAGCTAACACCTTTCAAGATATGTTTTCCTCCAAATTATTTGTAAACATCTCGACATTCTACAAAAACTGGTTACAACGTGGTGTGCTTGTGTGATTTTTCAAAATCTGAAGGCTTTATGCACTATCTTAAGATCAAGAACAAGATAACCAAGTAGGATCTTATCAAATTCTAAAGCCTAAAGCTAAAAGCGTCCTTTTGCAAATCCTAAACAACATTCCCTTACACTGAATCTGAATGTAAAATGACAAAACCAAAAAATTATACCTTTCAAAATATGTTTTCTCCCAAATGAACATCTCGACATTTTATAGAAACTGGTTAAAACGTGGTACTCAAAATCTGAAGGCTTTGTGCATAAATATCAAGAACAAGACAACCACGTAGGATCTTAATCAAATTCCAAAGCCTAAAGCTAAAGGCATCCTTTAGCAATTCACTAGCAAACATTCCTCTACACTGAATCTGATTGTAATACGACACACACAAACATACCTTAAAGCTAAAACCTTTCAAGATATGTTTTTTCCCAAATAATTAGTAAGCATCCTTTTCCAAATCATTAACCAACATTACAGTACACTGAATTTGGATGTAAGATGACAAAAGCACAAATTATACCTTAAAGCTAACACCTTTCAAGATATGTTTTTCCCCAAATGATTTGTAAACATCTCGACACTCTATAAGTACATCAGAATCATTCTCAGGCGCTAGCTGTTTACGCAAACCTCCTCCTGACTTTGAGAGATTCTGCAGATATCAATCATCAAAATATTAGACACGACTACAGACAAGCATACGAAGAGATTATCAATGGCAGATAAAAGGCAGAAACTTTGTGATGTTACATCGAACTTGGTGGCTATGCAACAACGCAACGCGCTAATACTATTTCTTCCCACAACGACGGATCTGTTTGAATCATGACAGTGTAAACTCGGAAGTCGAAACGAAGAAGAGGATAATGATATCATGATTTCTGGGTTTGAGATCTTGAAGAACCGATCGAAGACGGACCAATTCGCTACCAATTTGGAGGAATTGACTCAGAATCGACACTGTTCAAGTTATGCGTTTTACAGGAAACTTATTTTGCGACGAAAATTGCTTCTTTTTTCCTTCACCGATTGAAGCCAGCTAAGTTTTAGTGGAAATCACAAGCCATTTTATTTTTACTACGTTTATAATTAGCGATTTAATAGTTTGTTTTCGTTATTATTTTTTAAATTATCAAAATTAATAGAATATAAAACATAATTTATAATTTTCTATAATTTTTATTTATAAAATTTTAATGATGATACTTATCAAATTATCCAACTATGATATATATTTGATTTAGAAAAACATTTTCTTATTAAGATTTTGATATTTTATTTTCTATAAAAATTTTAAAATTTTTTTTTTTAAGATTTATATGTTTTTTTTTATTGAATATCTCATTGATGTTGTACACATATACATATATATGGTTAATATTGATTCACATTTAGTTAGCCGTTTCTTGCTTTTCCATCAAGCCTTCCCCGAGTTTTAGCTAAACAATTTTTTTCTTGCAATATATTTTTTCTTTTTTTATTGACAACAACATCAGCACCTGCATTAGTTCAGAAATCCAAACCGGTGGAACAAAACATAATTCAAAGAATAAATGTGATTTCGAACACTTCGTGCTAACTTGTCCACCTTTGTGTTTTGAGCAGGTGGGATATGCGAATCCTTTTTGCTTGTCTTATATTCCTCTAGGTGTAATTTGAATGCTGGCCATTCATCTGGACTAGAAACCATACACAGTAGTTTAGAACAATTTGTAGCAAAATTAACCGCGAATCTTCATTTATCCAGCATACAATGCATGACCCATATTAAGGCCTCTAACTCCTTGTGTAATGATGAAAGACTACGTCTAACATTCCTCGCACCCATAAGAGTGCCCTCGGATCCCAAGCCTGGCAATACCATCCCAGGCCCGAGTTAGTTGCCATCTCTTACCAGGATCCATCTATTAAACAATTTAACCCACCAATATGTGTAATTGCTATAACTAGGTTTGTTTGTTGTGTAGCATCCCCTTCACTTTCTGTCTGAGCCAATTCCCATGAATTTGCCTCTATGTCACAAATTTTAACACCACTCTAGAATCCCGATCAGTATTCGAAAAGATCTTATCGTTCTTTGATTTCCAGATGTACCACAACATCCATGGGTAAATGGATATTTCTTCATGTTGAGATAGATTTCAAAACAAGTACGCCATGTTTGAATATAATACATCTGTTGGGAAACGTGAGGGGTGTTGGAATCACCGATAGTGCCCATATTTGAAGAGCCGGTGGGCATTCAAACAGGGTATGACTAATGGTTTCTCTTCCCGCTCCGCATCTCCCACATTGTGGATTACAATTAATGCTTATGCTTTTAAGGCGGTCTTACCGAAATACAACCCGAGAGAATATGATTTAAAAAGTGCTTTAGTTTTGGCGGGCATCTAGCTTTCCATGCATGACCTTGTAAAGTGCTTACATCCTGTCCATAGGGTCGGCTCCCCACTGGATGGAAATTGTTGCTCCGTAGAATATCCTAACTTCACCGTATACCTGCCTGATTTTGTAAAACTCCAGCCTAATAAATATGGTCTGGAAGCACTGGTAGTAATTATATCCTCTGGAGCAATCAATTGTTGAATTAAAGGTACATTACAATTTGATGTTGTTGTGTCAATCAACTGATTGACTTTTAGCTCAAAGTAATAATTATACTCTTGGCAAGATGCTGATCTTGGGTGAGATGCTGAAATCCATAGATCATTTCATAAGATATAGAATGGCATGAGCCAACTCTTTTAATAAGTCCTTTGTGTACCAAACATCGAGCAGAAATAATGATTTTCCAACCATATAGTAGAGAGTATGACCTGATAGGGTCTAATGGTGTACCATTATGAAAGTACCTGCCTTAAATAACCTTTGCAAATAGTGAGGTTGGATGATAATTATGTCTCCAGAGCTGTTTTGCAAGGAGAGCCATGTTAAAATCCTATATGACCCGAAAACCCATTCCTCCTTCCAACTTATGTTTGCACAGCTTTTTCCAAGCTAACCAATGCATACTATGCGTTTGTCCGTTAGTGCTCCACCAAAGTTGTGCAACCGTACTTGTGAGTTTTGTTGTGACCGTTTTTGGTAACCTAAAGCATGACATGGTGAATGTTGGCATTGCCGTCGCAACTGATTTGATCAAAACATCTTTCCCCCCTTTGGACAAAAGTCGGGATGTCCATCCATTTACCCATTTCGGTGAACGATCTATGAGGAAGTTAAATATTTTTATTTTTGCATTATCTAGGCTCTCAGGTATTCCTAGATAAGTTCCCATTCCCCCTATTATCGTAATCTTCAGGGTTTGATGAACCTCTGACTTCATTGAATCATCTACCGTATGTCCAAACTGAACCGATGACTTATCAAAATTGATTTTTTGACCCGAGACAGCCTAATATTGTTGGAAAATCCGGACCAGGGTATCTGCTTCATCTTTAGTTTCCTTACAGAAGAATAAACTATCATCCGTGAATAGTATATGTGAGACCGGTGGACTCGCTATAGCAATTTTCATGCCAGTAATCTGTTTCAAACGTTCTGCTTTTTGCAGATTCACAATTAATACCTCCGTACAAAGAATGAAAAGATATGGAGATAATGGATCTCCTTGCCCTCAGGTTTTATATTTCCTCATAGTTGTTCATTGTAAGCACCTTATATTGCACCGACTTGACACACCACCTCATCCATGCTATCCATTTCTTCGGAAAGCCCATCTTCGTAGAAATTATTCTATGAAACACCATTCTATCCAGTCGTAGGCCTTACTTATATCCGTTTTGACAGCCATGTACTCCCTTTTACATGATTTATTTGTTCTTAATGCATAGAACATTTCTTGAGAAATTAAGATATTATCTGAGATTAGTGGTCTTGACACGAAGGCTGACTGTGTCTCAGTGATCAGCCAGGGTAATAAACTATGCAATCTCTGACACGGTACCTTTGAAATTATTTTATATCCCACATTACATAAGCTAATGGGTCTCAACTCAGTTATCTGTGTGGGTTTTTCCATTTTTGGAATGAGGCAAATATTTGTAATATTGAACCATCGATCAAAAGTTCACGAGATTAGAAAATCATTAGCCATTCGTACCACATCAGCCATAATGATATGCCATAATTATTGGAAAAAAAGTGTGGTCATCCCATCTGGTCATGGAACTTTCTCTGGGTGCATCATAAAGAGTGCGGAGTGAACCTCCTCTTCTGTTGCCATCCTTGTAAGGTGATCATTGAGCCTCTGAAATTTCCGGATTTATTTCCTCGAGAGCTTCCACAAATGATGTCGAATTAGTAGATTCAAATAATTCTGCAAAATACTCTACTGCTACCTTCTCCACTTTTGTTTCTCCGGCGACTGAGACTCTGTCTTTATCATGAAGACACACAACCCTATTTATAATTCGTCGTTGTTTTGTTGTCGCATGATAAAATTTTGTATTCAGGTCCCCATTCCTGTTCTAGAAATTCCGACTCTTCTGTTGCCAGTATGGTTCTTCATCTCTATACGCCTCTTGCAGCTTACAAGTGATGTCATTTAATTCCGCTTGAGTACGAGAATCATCAGTCTGTATTTCCTCCAAAGCCTTTTAGAGTTCTGCAATTTTGTCTTTTCCTTATTGTTGATTTCTCCATTTCAAAATCTCATGTCCGCAAGTACCAAGTCTGTCCACCATAATCTATTGCTATCTACCACTTCTGAATTCCAACCTCGTACAATAGATTCCATCAAACCTTCTTGACTTATTTATCTTTTATCAAATCTGCATAGCACGAGTCTGTTTTATTAATTTTATCTAAATTTTTATTTTTGTTATTAACTTTAAATTATTAAAAGCATAATAAATTTACATAAACTTTCTTTTCATAAATTCTTCTACTATATGTTTATATGTTATATTTCAATATTTTTCAGCAGTTCTAACAACATGTTTATTATCTAATTTTATTTTATCAAGATCAGGTACGACAATTATTAATTTGTTTTCTATTTTTTCATCTATATTAAATGCATTTGATGGCCTTCCATGTTCAAATTCTATTTGGATATCTTTTCTATTTATAAAAGATTCATGACGTTTAGTGAATTGTCCAGTCTTGATGCAGTCGTAAAACATGCATATTTAATTTAGAGAATAACTTTTTTCTTGCTAAGATTCTGGGTTTTTATTTTGTTACTTTTGTTTTCTTTACGATTTTGTAGTTGTTTTGATGTATAATAGATTGTTTTGCAATTTGACTATAAATAAATAATACAAATAAGTTTTCAATGCTGCATATGAGTTCGGAAACAAATTGAAATTTTTTTTATCTAAGGTTTATGTATTCAAATCTTTGGTGTATGAGTTCAAAAATTCACAAATACTTATTTAATGTATATTTATATTGAATATTTCAATATCGTAAACCATTTTTTATAAATAAATGTGAAATTATGCAATATATTTATCACTCATTTTTATTTTACTATGATAAGCCACCATCACCATATAATTTATATATAATATCTCATCTACATAGAACGCGTTTGATGTCCTGCCATGTTCAAACACCATTTGGATTCCTCTACTTTTCACAAAAAGATTCATGTCGTTTATCGAATTGTCCAACCTTGATGTTATCGTAAAACATACATGTTTAATTTAGATAAGAATAGTATTGCTGCTAAAATTGTGGTATTTTTTTTGTTTCTTTGTGAGTTTTGATTTTTGTATTAGATTTGATATAAAACATGTCGCTTTTAAATTTGTCTTAAATAAATACTACAAATAATTTTCCAAGTTGCTGCTTTTGAGTTCGGAAACAAACTGAAATTTTCTTTTTCTAAGGATTATATATTCAAATATTTGGTTTGATGATTGAATATCTGATTAATATTATGTACCTAATCAACTATTATCCCTGGTTTATATTTATT